CAAAAAATTGTATAATTCAATTCACTGGTAGAGAGCAATTATTCAGGAAATACTGTACACATAAATGAGCTCATTCGCATTGTTAGTGTGACTTTAAAAGCCGCCCGTGATAAATTTACCTCCCAATACTCGTCAATTTCGCTCGCCTTGCCACACATCGAGTGTAATCATATGATTGAGACACACATTTATATACATTTATAAAATACAGGATTAACAGATGAAATTTGGTTGTTAATTTCATTAGCAGAAGCTAGAAATGAGGCGCGCTTTTAAGTAGGTGGTATAAAAATCCCCTGTGATTATTTGGATTCGGACTAATTGTCAATGAGCTTTAAAAACCTTTAAAATGAATAGAGACAATAAATCTGTTGCAAATAAAAAATAGTTGTAATGGTAAAGGTAATTTTAACTTAAACGTAAATATAACTATTTGGTATGGTGCCCTTCAAATAATTACAAAGATTGATCAAAGTAATCTAGGTTGATATAAAATAATTGTATTGGCTTTACAAAAAATTCATTCAATACTTTAGCATTTCAGCTTTCACTTTTCTAAATAATTTGCTACAACCAGCCGATGTGAAAATTCAATCCACACCAGATTAGATCTACCATATGATTTTACTTTGCTAACTCACCAACGTAGTATGACGTTGACCATACCCTTAGCGAAGGTATTCAAAACCAGCTTGACTTTTTCCAAGAGGTTTATTTTTTTTTGTCGGTTGGACAATCTTCAAAAGATACCGTTATATTGCAGACGTTATGCACGATTCAACCTATTTGCTTCAAATGCACCTCATGCGGGATCGTGCCCCTCCAGTTTTTGCGTCTACGTATAAAACCCTTACCACCGTCTCCTATAGATTATATTTTTTCTTGGGACAAGGAAAGCTTTTGCCGGTTAGCTCTACGCATAAGAATTGTAGTACATTTTGTTCATCATCCGTCCCTCGCTGTTCCCTTGCCATTCTTTCCATCTAAATTTAATCAAGCCTATTGGGCTCCATTATCTTAGCCAGTTATACACCTATTGGGATCGAATCATATTTTCAGTCAGTCGCTCTGCCAGAAGTTTCTCTACCTCCTCTTTTTCGCCTTTATAACATGAGGATCCAACTTAAAGTGATAAATCGATTTAACGTATGTAACTATTAATTAAAACTTGAATATCTACTGGAAAATTTATAAACTTGCCGGTTAAAACCGAGGTCCGTTTAGGGTCTACTATTATATCCACGAGCTTGACCTGAAAGGTAAGAAGAGTGTAGTAAAATTCTATATATACTCCAACTATCGATAACCGTACCTACTGGCAATCCTCTACTGTGAACTACGTGTGGCTTCTACATCACGATAATGCACCAGCTCAAACATCAATGCTTATTCGTGATTTTTTTGCCAAAAACAAAACCGTAATAATGCCTCAACCAACGGAATCACCAGATTTGGCTCTCTTCGACTTTTTTCTTTTGCCAAAACTGCAGAAACCAATAAAAGGAAAGCGTTTTGCCACAATTGATGAGATCAAGTCAGAATCGAAGAAAGCGCCTTTTAGAAGCGTTTCGAATATTGGAAAAAGCGTTGGAACAAGTGTATTATATCCGAGGGTGATTACTTTGAAGGGGGCTAAATAGATATTGATGAATAAATAAGTAATTTTCAAAAAAATTCAAAATTCATCTTTTCCTTTAAACACACCTTGTATTTATTGGTCAGATGATAGAAAAGACTTCTCAGATTAATGCATATCGGCTGTGAAATTATAAGGTTTTCTTTTCTCACAAAAATGTTGCATTTATTTTGGTCTAACATATGCTTGGAAAATAAAATTTGTGTGTTCTTTTCTCAACATATTTTCAGGATTTTTTTTCTTTTGATTATAGTTGGATAATGAAAATTGCGAATGAGTTGGTTTGCTTTCTTCATTTTATCATGTAAAAAAATTGATAATTTTTACAAAAAGTAATGAAGCATTTATGTAATGTTGCAACATTTTCATCGACAAAAGAAAACGCTACAAGAAACATTTTATTTGCATAGAAATTCAATTTTATTCTATCTTCTATTTAGGTTAGTTTTTGGACATAACTAAATTAAAATTTTTAATTAATGTAATGGCTGGTATTGAAAGTTACCTTGCTCTCTCAAGCGTTTATAAAATCAAACTTTACAAAACAGCTATCAAATAAAACATTCCGATTCGAAATAACCCTCTAAGCTAAGAACTCTCAAATTATGAAATGAAAAGTAGAATGTTGAGGGGAAGTCAAGACTGTGAATAAAATCTAAGCAGTGGCTTCTTATATAACTATGCAGCATGACACAAAAAAGGCATTAGTTTCAACACAGGTGATCGGCATGAAAGTACTAATTGCCGCAAAGTAAGGTAATAAAGACACCGAGTGGCAAGATGTATTACGAATGCCCAAATGTTGGCTGTATGCATAAAAATAGCCAAACCTCATCTGCAGATATCATGCTCTGTGCACTCTGGCGTAACATTCTTGAATTGGATACATTCACATGTGCGTCTGTTGATGTGGTGAGCGTTTTTACTAAGCTGATAGTTCGGAGATGGTAACAATTACAATACCGATAGTTACCGCACAATGCTCTAAGTTCCAAACAAGTGGCAGTGTAAGCAAATAGCTCAAGTTGAACCTATACATACATATGTAAGAGTGTGTATCCAAGAGCCTCCCTGCATTTGTATTCTAGCTGAGTATGCCAACAAGCTTTTCCACTTCATAATTCTTCTAGGGCTTCGAAAATCAGCCAAGCAAACGAATCAACTTTTCACGCTGCCCCTTACTTGAAGGGGTCGGGGTGAGTGGCAATGCTACAAGTGGCTTACCTATCGTTGCATATACCTACATATGTGAAAATACTTGATTACGTACGTTTATATGTGTGTATTTCCAATGGTATTGCACTCGGGCTGAGCCGGCCAGAGAACTACTTGTACTGGTACAATTTAAAAATATATTAGAAAAAAGCATAAATTCGTACTTGAGCAACCAAGTGTGACGAATGAGATTACTGAAATCTTCTGGAGCAGATCCATTTTTCATGCAACTCTGCAGCGTACGGCAACAACAACTATACTCACATGTATAGCTACGCCAACCACAACTATAGCAACTACATGCTTTGGGGCTACACTTTGCCGCTGCAGTTGAAGACTTTGCCATTGTAGACTTTAATACCCTAGCTCTCAACACACACACGCACCCACTGATGCATATATGCAAACATATACACCGCAGCTCTGAGTACTTGAGTTGCAAGCCATGGTGTATTGTTTTTTCCTGCATTGTATGTAGTTGTTGCTGTCATTGTTTCTGATATTGAGGGGCTGTGTGTTGCGATTGTTGCCATTGTTATTACTGACGATTGCAATCAAACATTGCAATGAATCGCAAAAGCACTACAGACTGGACTGTGGCGAGGGCGACGGTGACGTCGAAGGCGGGGGTAAAGTAGTGCGGTGTGAATTTTGACATGTTCGGGGTTGTAATACTTTTCGCAAATATCCACACGTAACAATGTATTTTGAGTGTATTTGGGTATGCTTATGCAGTTGCATGTCGAGATTCATCTTTGCAATTGATGCAACCACACCATCCATCGATAGGCGGGTTCAATGTGCAACATCCGTTCGGTTTGTTTTGCATCGTTTTGAAATTTCTCACAATTGATACTCTAATTAAATGGAAGAACAAACCGAAAGCAATTGAAGTTGAGCAGACGAAAATGCACCAGCATTAAAGTAAGCCACAGAAGCGTGTTGGCCAATACTCGTTGGTAAGTTTTTCGGTTAGGCTAGGTGATCGTCAGTAGAAAATAAGTTTGGATCATCGATCTATCTGAAGAAATTTTCTAGCGAATCGTATGGGGTTATTAAATTACCATATCAACTTAACAGAACTCTAGAGAATTTTATAGATTTGATTTATTTCCTGTTTCTAATATAAAGATTTTGCTATATTCATTCTAATATAAAGAAGTGGATGATTTATATTTCATTTACACTTACATTCCAATAACGCTTTATTATAGGAAAGAACATAGAAGAACCTTCGTTGTGAGACGACTTCCCCCGGTTTAAAACTTTATTTAAGGTTCGAAGCAAACCTACACAAGAAGTTCTCTACGCTCTCCGATAACAGGCCATTTTGAAACGTAGTCGATAAAAATTATGTCATCCGCATCTTAAAATATAGTCACTTTTGGCACATTTTTTTTGGTCAATGTTTTGGATTCAGAAGAATCGTCGAATGTGAGATCTCGAGATATCCACTTTTAGCAAAGTTTTTTCATTTTAACTAACTGTCGGAATTGATGCTTTTAGCCTCCACTGTGGTTATCGTCTTCGGTACTCTTGATTACTGTACAGAATTTTGCGTGACAATTTTGAATGGTTGCTTCGCCGAATGCTGAGCTTGGACAATAAACAGGAGACACTATTAGGTATCATTAGCGTTTTTTTATCATCAAAAGTTGTTCGCCAGTTGTGAAGTTACTACGTCAGCTAACATCAAAAGAAATAAGTTAAATTTTAGTGGTGTACATAATTTAGAGCGATTGTTTACTTCAGACTGTCCAATTGTCGACAGAATAGGTCCGAATTAAGAGGTCACCACACGCGCGGGCTCACCACCGTTCGACTGTGGCGAGTAACCATCCGATGAAAGAAATTGATTGATTTTATTGCGATTAAGCAGATGAAAATTCGGTCCATGAAGATTTTTTTGTATTAAGTCGTGTGGAACCCATACACTAAGATAATACTGAAAAATTAGTACCTTTGAACAAACTTGATTTGTGTTGTAGCTTTCGAACTGAATGGCTTTGGCTTGAGTTTTCTTCAGCCATTTGTGGTCCATTGGTCCTGGACCTAGTGTAAGTTTCATTCTTTTTAAGATGTTATTAAAAATTATCCATCGTCGTAATGCGCCAATTACTTCATACCCAGAAATAAAAAATTAATACTTTTTGTTAACTTAGTATATATTTTTAAATAAAATAACTTTAACTTGTAATGCTATCACAAAATTATTTTAAATTAATGAAGTAATATTCCATATCCCAAAATGAACTAATTATTTAATAATTAATTAATCTTAACTATATAACAAATTAAATAAGAGCTGTTTGGAGTTTAATGGCAAGCAGGAATCCAAACCGGTTCGTCTGGAATTTAAAAATTAGACAATATGTCGAGTCATCTCACCAAAGTAATACCCTACTTCTATAACCAAGTGCTTTGTATTTTTTGTGATTTTGTTCGTTTGTGACACTCCTTAATCAATTCAATTTTCGCCGTTAATTCCTCCTTAAAATCCACCTGTCGATTTATTACCATCAAATCTGCGCCTTCATAATTGTCGAGATTTTTCATGTTTTCGTTAATTAACTTTTCGGTTAGCTCCACTTTTGATTTAATGCGACGTACTATTCTGGGGCTTGGACGACGTAGTTCCTCGTTATAAAGAAACAGTTGGTAGGGTAGTGTGTACTTTTCGATATTTTTACCCATTTTTGTGTAAACTGAGGTTGAATATTACTTGAGTATGAATTATGATACTGCTGCTATACCTTCATTATCTGCCGACTGAATGATCCGTAAATTAAACGGTCACTGATTTTATATTCACATCCTTTATCATCCTAGCGCAAACCTTTTGCTTCAGTGACATAATTTTACCTGAATACAAATGAAAAGGCTTAATAAGGTCTCCAAATCACGTCAAGTTTCGACTACCTGTTCTTACATTTTAATTTTGTACTCTCCTTGTAGTTGTTGTATGTCTGTAAGTTCTTGAAACAAAGGATTATTTCTGAAAAGGTTTATGTGAACATACATAAAATAAGTAGTGTGAATACAAGGACAGTCGAGGGATTATGTGCATACATCTCGAAATTTCTATTATGTGGTAATTTTTCAAAAATTTAATTGCATTTTATTTATGGTAACAAGATGATAATGATTTGAAGTCTGCAATACCATACTTTTTACTAAATTCTAGGATTGGTTTTTAGAATTATGAATATCTCAACATAACTAATCAAGCCTTCTTTGCTGATCGTTGTGGCTTCATTTACTTTGGAGCTGAACAACCAGCTTCAGTCCACTATAAAGGTTTTTTTTTAAATTTAGGATCATGGTAATAGATCCAAGTCATCCATAGTTATAAAACGACGCAAGAAGTCGGTTTTATTCTGCTTAAAATGCTACAAATTATGTTGAGAAATTTGTTTTCGATCCAGTTTTTGTGGAATTGTTAACGTGTGCCTATGGAATTAGCTATTTCACGCTTAGTTAAACTTGGATCATCACTAACAATTTTATGAACTTGCTCAATGATTTCTGGTGTGGTTGCGGTTTTTGGTTGTCCTAGTACGACCACGTTAAAATTCACAAGTCCAAAATTCAACGGTGAGTTTTGACGGTGAGGACTCCTTATCCACTTTTAACAATTGTTCTTTTTTTCCTTCAAAGCAAATAATCTAATCAGTGCGCGACATACAATTTTTTCCATATTAAAAAAATAATCTGACACATCGACTTTAAATGGTTTGTAAACTATGAATAAATTGAGGGAATGACTTGTAACTTTGTATGTGTTCTTATGGCAGATGTACCAACTTGAGAAAAAAAGATAAGTGTGGCATGCGGGGACTGCCGCGGTAAAGCCGTTGCATAGCATTTTTATCAACTTATGCAATTACAATTATTTATTTATTTTTAATGCAAAGTTTTTCTTTGATATTAATTCAAGTTACACTTTTTGAGCGTGGTGACCGATAAGTAAACAAATATTTTTCTTTTATTGAATAAATGAAAACTTAATATTGCTTAAAATATTTTTATTATCTTACAATATAGGTATGTAGGCCATTCAGGAATTTTTATCATTGAAACCAGGGATAAAGGGATACCCAACTTATTCCAGTGTGAAGGCGCCTCGAAATAAGCGTTTTTATAACATTTTCCATTTTAGCCAGATCGGACAAAATAATAATTTTTGGGAATTCAAATTAAAATACCCAACATTTATTTAGATTAAATATTATTATACATGTATCCGTTAAATATATGCAGAAACTATTTAAACTCTCTTTTGTGATTTGTAATATACTAAAACAATTGACTTTTGAACTTTCAATACTTAATTTAAAAAACCAAATGTGTTAGCCTTCTATTAGCAAATGAATTTTATAATATTCAATTGAAAATTAATACTACTAAGAATGGAATTACAAAAAATTTCATCAAATACATTTCAATTTCAAGTTTTCATTCATTTTCATTGTTTTCTAATTTTTGCTAGTGCTCTTCAACAGCAGCAACAAATCCTCTCTTCACATATTTTTCTGTAGGATTTAAATCTGGTTGTCGCTCTTTTTCCAATTGCTAAACGTCAGACCTTCTGAACTTTGACAGTTGCCTGAGTTCAGGAGGTTTTGACGTTTAGCAATTGCGCTGTCATTTCCAGAGAGATTGGGCATCTTTTAATCGCTGATTGAAACAAAGGGTTTATGGTAACTGAAATAAGAAACATAAGTTTGAGACTTCATATCCACTAAATATCTGGAAAATACAGCGTCAATGGTGGTCTCATATTTTGTTGTGGACTCCTGTGGATTATTATACATTTTCAAATTCAAATTTTCCGAAAGAAAAGTTGTCAACCACTCGGATTTTTGTCAGCGAAGTTGATGTTGAAATCTCCAGCCAAGATAAGTGAAAATTTATCACCATTGATAATCCGATTGAAATGCCTAAATTCAATTGGATTGTTCAAAAGAGATACTGTTCCAAAACGTGGGGTATCTATTTACAAAAATAATAATAATGTTACGTATATTATGACTTCGAATAATGTGTAATTTATTTTTTATTAATTCAATTTTCTATTAAATTCAATATTTTTATTTTTTATTAAAAAAATTGTAATTGTATAATAATTTAAATCACCCTGCTCTTCACTTGATTTGTTCCGCTTGAGATATGCGAAGAGTAACCTAAAAGTATGCAAACATTTTGCGTATACTTTGTAATCGTGTTAGGTTTATTTCCGTTACGGAATTTCTGGATTAGGTCGCCGCTCTCAAAGCCCGCGATAGAAGCTATGCAATAGCTCAAGAATTGGAGCTAGTGGTGCCATTTATCATTACTCTACTCAATTTTCAACCAACCTGTACATATATACATACTCGTACATACACACATACAAAGCTGCGGATGTTGCAGTTGTTGACAGTTGTCACTCAAGCAAAGCATCTTATTTCTCAATAACTTGACTGTAACTGATTTCTAGCAAAAATTAACAAAAATCAACAGCCAATCACCACGGCGGTGCACATTTATTGTAAATTACAACAAAAAAGAATAACAAAGAGGCGAAAACGTGCCATGATAACAACTGGGTATGAAACACCTGCTGCTAGGCGACAAGTGCTATCGTTTCCAGCTAAATTCTCCAAATGCAATTGAGAAAATGTTGTTTAACGGTTTCTTGTGTGGCACCACTACTTAAGTGGTCACATTGGCCAATGCGTACATGTCCACTTGCATGTGGCATGTTGTTGTGACGATATCAAAGTAACTTTTTATCATTGCCACCAACTTAAAAGTTGTATGGCTGTTGTTGTTGCGCAGCAGCTCATTTAGAAATTGCTTATTCATTGTTGGCGTTAATTTTTTAAATAGAAAAATGGAAAAATCGCTATCTTCAGGCGAAGCTTGCAACAGTAAACACCACAAGGTGTGTTGACAATATACATGCACACACAGTTATGTGCGTTAATTTTATCGCAGAAAGTGGCAAGAGAAAATGCAATGATAATTGTTGATTTATGGCCATGTGTACATTGTATTAATTCGATATGAAGTCTATGTGTATACTCTACGTTATAGATAATATCTGCAATATGGCTATGACTTTATAGCGCAGGCGGATGAGTGGCACGGCCGATTTCACCCGCATACGCCTACTTTTGAGACATGTGCCGGTCAATGATAGAATTAATTGATTTTCTATAAACAAAAAGGAGGTTAAAGTGTAAATATTAGCGAGAGGGATGTTGTATTACTTGAGGCATATTCTTTAATGACATAACATTAAAATGCCTTAGTTTGGATATTTTATTGCTCTTCAATACAATACAATAGAATACATTTGAAACAATAATAAGTAAGGATGGGCTAAGTTGTAACCGAATATCTTATTTCTCGCAAGATAAAATATGGGATTTCGGTGTACATATATTATATTTTAATTAAAAGTAAGATTTCTTACATATTGACCGATTAGGAGGCATTTATGAAGTTAGCTTCAGCGGTTTGGAAAATATGAACATTAAACCATTTAGCGGCAGAGCGGCGCAGCCTATTTTAAAAAAAATTCTGCCAACTGGTGTCATTTGGTACTGCGATTCCCTGTATCAAATTATAGTTATGTATCTTAATTATGTGCTTAGTTATGGCACTTTACATATTTTCGTTTAATGACGTTTTGTAGGTGGTGCGATTATGCCCATCTGCAATACCAAGGTGCCAAGGAACATATGTACCAAGTTTTATCAAGATATTTAAATTTTTATTCAAGTTATCGCTTGCATGGACAGACGGACGGACAGACAGTGATGCGGATTTCAATTCGTCTCGTCCGCCTGCTCATTTATACATACATACATATATAACTCCATATCTATCATTTTGATCGGTCAGTTTGTATGGAAACTATTTGCTGTAGTCGACCGATCTAAATAATGTTTTCGGAGATTGCATCGTTGCGACGCAGAAAAGTTTTCAATGTAAGAACTTTTAGTTCGATATTAGCGGTTCCGACTAATAAGCAGCTTCTTAATGAGAAAAGGGCGTGTGCAAAATTTCAAATCGATATCTCGGTAACTGTGTGACCAGGTCGCGCATATCAACACAGACGGACGGGCAGGCGGATACGGTGAAATCGACTCAGCTCATAATGCTGATCTTTTATATATACATTCATATATATATTTTATAAAATTTCTGACGTTTCGCTCAGTTTATGTTATAAAAAGAGCGAATATTAGTTTGCTGGACTCGTGATTTTTATGTGGTGCAATTCAAAATGGTTAATATTCTGTTGCTGCTGTTGATTCGAAGTCTTACACCCCTTTTGCGTAAGGATGCTAGTTTGTATGGTAGTTTGCCGGTATAGTTGGACTGGCTACTCTAACCAGATTTTGCACTGCGTATGTCTACTTGTGTCAGTATAAGCAAATAACTACACAGAATTTAAAAATTATTTTGTTGAAATTATGTGGGACCAGTGCTCAAATTTGTGTTAGAATTTGTAAAATGAAAGAGAAAGAAATTGAAAGCACCGACATTGAAATTTAAAATCGTTATTTTAGAAAATTCGGATTTATTAGTATATTCGTCGTGAAATTATACTGTATTTTAAATGCCTCAGTTTTTCATGTTGATTTATATATGCCATTTTAAACATTTTATACTCTCGCAAAGTAAATGGTATACTCGTTTGAGACTTCTTTATATGTTTTGCTTGATTTGCATAATGGAAATGGAGAGAATCAGGTGGAATTTAAAATGGTGTTATATGGGAAATAGGCGTGGTTGTAATACGATACCGAATTCGGTTGAAATCGGTTAAGCGGATCCCAAGATATGGGTTT